GACATCAAGGAGAAGAGCGTGCATCCCCTAAGGACTCTTCATCCTCTCCTGGAGAAAGTTAATGCATTTTTGGTTGTTCAGGATGGCTGTATCAAAGTTGGACAGAAGAATGACTTTGCTATTGTCTTTGTTTGGAGATTAAGCATGGATTAGATGTGTATGGCTGCAAAGTTGACAAGGGAGGACTGTCATGCTTAATTTTATGTATCAACTTGACTAGACCATGGGGCTCAATTGTTTGTTCAGATGTTGTTTAAATGTTGCTGTGAAGGTATTTTGTAAAAGTGATTAACAATTACAATCAGTTGACATTAAGAAAAAGAGATTACCCTTGATATGCGAGTAGGCATCTTCTAGTCAGTTGAAGGCCTCAAGAACAAAAACTGTTTCCTGGAGAAGAAGGAAGAAGGCCTCAACACTAACATAGAAACGCTACCTGAGTTTCTAGCATGCCAACCTGCCCTACAGATTTCAGACTCAAGACTGTAACTTCAGCTCTTGCCACAGTTTCCAGGCTACTTTGGACTTGCCAGACCCCATTCCTGTTAACAAAATATGTAATAGTTTCCTAGGGCTGCCATAACACAGTACCACACACTTGGTGGCTTAAAACAACAGAAATTTATTCTCTTGCAGTTCAGGAGGCCAGCAGTCTGAAATCAAGGTGTCAGTAGGGTGGGCCTCCTTCTGAGGCTCTGGGGGAATATCTATCCCATGTCTCTTTCCTAGTTTCTGGTGATTGCCAGCGATCCTTGGCATTCCTTTACTTGTAGATGCATCACTCTAATTTCTACCTCCACCTTCACATTGCGTTCTCTGTGTGTTGACAAGGCCATCTTCACCCTGTATGCTTCTCTATCCTCTTCTGATAAGAACATCAGTTATAGTAGATTAAGGGCCCACCCTATTCCAGTTTGACCTCATCTTAACTCTAATTATATGCAATTTGCAATAACCCTATTTCAAAAGAAGGTCACATTCTGAGGTACCAGGATTAAGACTTCAAGATATCTGCTGGACAAGATGGTAATACTTTCCAAGTTAATCTATAGATTCATTGCAATCATTATCAAAATTCCAGCTGAATTTACTCCAGAAATTAGCAAGCTGACCCAAGAATTCATATGAAAAAGAACTCAGAATAGCTAAAACAATCTTGAAAAGAACAAAGTTGGAAGACTTACATTTCGTGGTTACAAAGTTACTACAAAACTATGGTAATCCAGACAGTGTGGAACTGGCATAAAGATAGAACTATACATTAGTAGAATTAAAAATCCAGAAATAAACCCTTATGTTTATGGTCAATTGTTTCTTGACAAGGATTCCAAGACAATCAATGGGAAAAGATTAGTCTTTTCAACAAATGGTGCTAGGACAACTAGATAGCCACATACAAAAAACAAAACAAACAAACAAACAAAAACGATCCCTACCTCACATCATACACAAAATTTAACTCAAAATTGATCATTGACCTAAATGTAAGAGCTAAAATTATAAAACACTTAGAAGAAAACACAGGAGTAAATCTTCATGAGCTTGGGTTAAGCAATGGTTTCTTAGACATGATACCCAAAGTACAAATGGCAAAAAAAAAAAATACATATATTGGACTTCTTTTTTTTCATATTTTTATTGGGGAATTGGGGGGATGGGAACAACACTGGGGAATTGGGGGAAGGGGAACAGATAAGTTGCTGTTGTTTTGTTCTTCAGTCTAGTTGTGGAGGACGTCGCTTCACTGGCCCAAGCTGGCACCATCATTGTGCTCTTCCCAGGCAAGGCAGACCAGTCGCCGGCCTCTGGACGGCTGCTCACTGCAGCTGCTGGCTACACACGGTAGCCCATGGCAACCCACTGCCACAGGGGCTGCAGCCTATGCCGTCGCCGGCGACTCATGGCAGCCCAGCTCCAGGTTGAGCTGTCGTTCAGCATCTTACCTGTGGAGGGCAGCGTCACTGGCCCCCATATGTGGGATCCGAACCGGGGCCCTCTGGCGTCCCAAGCCAGTTCTTAACCACCATGCCACTCGGCCGGCCCACATTGGACTTCTTTAAAATTAAAACTTTTGTGTGTCATAGAACACATTCAAGAAAGTGAAAAGACAGCACAGTACTGTGAGAAGATATTTGCACACCATATATCAAGAACTTATAATCAAATATATAAGGAACTCATACAACTCAACAACAAAAAACCAAACAATCCAATTAAAAAATGGGTAGAGGACCTGAATAGACATTTCTCCAAAGAGATCATACAAATGGCCAATAGACATATGAAAAAATGCTCAACATCACTAATCATCAGAGAAATGCAAATAAAAACCGTAATAAGGCATCACCTCACAACAGTTAGAATGGCTATCATCAACAAGACAAATAATAAGTGGAGAGGCTGTGGAGAAAAAGGAACCTTCATACACTGTTGGTGGGAATGAAGATTGGTGCAGCTGCTATGGAAGACAGTGCGGAGGTTCCTCAAAAAATTAAGAATAGAATTACCATATGACCCAGCAATCCCTCTCCTGGGTATTTACCCAAAAAATCTGAAAGCATTTATCTGTAAAGACATATGTGCTCCGATGTTCATTGCAGCTTTATTTACGGTGGCCAAGCCATGGAAACAACCACAGTGTTCTTCGATAGATGATTAGATAAAGAAGTTGCAGTATGTACACACAATGGAATACTATTCTGCCATAAGAAAAGATAAAATAATGTCATTTGTGACAACATGAATGAATCTTGAGATTATTACACTAAGCGAAATAAGTCAGACAGAAAAAGTAGAGAACCAAATGATTTCACTGATATGTGGGATATAAAACTGAAAACAACAAAGGAACAAGATAAACAAGTGAAGAAACAAAAACTCATAGACACAGACAATAGTTTAGTGGTTACCAGAGGGGAGGGCAGTAGTAGAGGAGGGTAAAAGGGATCAAATATGTGGTGATGGAAGGAGAACTGACTCTGGGTGGTGAACACACAATGCGCTATATAGATGATGTGTTACAGAATTGTACACCTGAAACCTATGTAACTTTACTAACAATTGTCACCCCAATACACTAATTAAAAAAATAATTTATAATCTTACAACTCATTAACAAAAAAAGAATCAATGTGAAACTATCACAAATTGAAAGAAAACTCAGTAAAGTAGCATACAAAAACAAACGATAGCCTTCATATATAAAACAATGAGCAGTTAGAAGTTACCAATATCAGGAATGAAGGAGGGTTATTAATACAGGCATTGACAGGATAATAAGGGAATATTTACTAATAACTTTATGCCCATAAATTCAACAACTCCAGTGAAATGGACAATTTTGTTGAAAGATACAAAGTACCAAAACTCACTCAAGAAGAAACCAACAACCTGAACAGTCCTATATGTGTTATAGAAATTTAATTCCTAGTTATAAACCCTTCAGAGAATAAAATTTCAGGCCAAATTTGTTTTACTGGCCACCACATGGATGAATTTCAAATGTGTTACGGTAAGTAGAGGAAGCCAAACTCAAACGACTACATATATGAAATTCTGGAAAAGGCAAAACTATGTGCATGGAAAACTAGATTAGTCGTTTCAAGGGGCTGGGGGTAGGAGGGCTTGACTAGAAGGGGACATGGGGTAACTGGGGGGCAGTGAAACTCTCCTATAGCTTGATTGTGGGGGTAATACAACTGTAAGCATTTGTCAAAACTTGCATGATTGGGTAAATTTCACTGTGTAAATTACACCTTAATAAAAAAAAGTTTTGACAGCTGGATTGACTTACTAGAATTGAGGGACCATGAAGAAAACTGAAAACATCATGATCTATGGCACAGAATTCTCAAAAAGAACCAGTATGTCTGGATCTGACTATGGGAAGGAATGCTAAACTAGGAGTATCGGGGGGAAACTATTCCAAACAATTATATCCCTAAGTCTTCTCCCCATTCCACACCTCTGGACTACTGTGTCTTCCTATTGCAGAAATCTGGAGTTTTGTTTTCTGCAGAGAGTAAAATAGGTAATCCACATTGGACAGTCCCAGGCATAGTTTAGGGTCCTGGGTGTCAGCATTGGAAAGTTAGGAGATAGTGAACATATTTAATGCAGAATGTTAATACACAGACACTATCCATCTGAGCTGCCAGAACCCTTCAGTAAGACTCCTGCCATTCAGGAAGGAGTTTGGGATCATTTATGAAGCTGACAAGCCCAAGAGGGATGTCATAAAGATGCTGATATCAGCAGCAACCCATGACTCACCCAGCTCTCTCACTGGGAAGCTCAAAGTAAATATGCCATGTCCACACCCTGGATTTTCTGATCACTCTTTATCGCACTAGTTTTAATTTCAAATAGAAGACAAGGGAATGCCAGACATCTAAGGAAAGCCTCCAACATGAAAAATAAACACCAAATCAATCAAGTTGAAAATAGCAGTTTGTGGGACACAAACAGCTGGCAGAAGAAAAAAATTAAAATTATGAAATACTTCCAATTCCTTTAGGTTTAAACAAGAATGATGAACACATTCCATTTTATTCCTGACACTAATCACACCACCAGCAGTCATCTACCAAAAGATTCTGAGGTAGATTAGCTAGGGACCTCAGTACTCGAAGAACAACCCAGTGGGGAGGATCCCTGGGCTATTTCTTTCCTCCTATGTGTCCAACTTGGGGTCAGAGATACCTGCAAACTGGAAATGCCAACAGCCACATACATGCACATGCACATGCCATAAGAAAAGCCAAAGTCCAGGAAAGGGTGGCCCAACATGATGGGAACCTTTTCAACATCCGGCCTGTTCTCAAAGCAAACATGAGGAAAGCTGCATTTTTGTCTCCCAAAAGGCACTGAAGAAGCTGGCTTCACTGGTGGGGAGCCACATTCCAACCCCTTCCCCTATAGTAAGTTGGTCTTTGTCAAGCCTGTAGGCTAAGATATCTCAACCCCAGCGTTACTGATATTTGGAGCTGGAGAATTCGTTGTTGTGGAAGATGTCCTGTGCATTGTAGAATGTTTAGCAGCATCCCTGGATAACCTACTAGATGCTAGTAGCACACTCCCCCGATTTTAATAATAAAAATGTATCCGGACATTACCAAACATGCCTTAGGAACATCACCCCTAGTTGAGAACCAATGTTATATGTCTTCCACACTCCTCTGCATGAAGGATGGGGTGCCAAGCTGGACACGTGTTAGTGTCCATGTAGTAACTTCTGTTCCCATCTGGAGTAGGAGGCAACACCACTCATTATCCCAAGCCAGCACTGAGAAGATGGTGAGCTGGAGTCCTGTCATCTGGGAAAACATGCAAGTGGACAGACCAGAATAGCCCTGCAGAGACTTTAAAAACTCAACAGCCATTGGAACCACAGTCCACTAAAGTGAGCCAGGATGTGCATTCTGAACCAAACAGGTAGACTGCCTGCTAAAATAGATTTAAGTGGGAACCAGAGCCTCATAAAGTAATACCTAAAATGCACAGGATATACAGTCCAAAATTACTCCTCACACTAGGAGCTAGGAAAATCTCAAGTCCAATAAGAACAGACAACCAATAGACATCAAGCTAACACATTGTGTGAATTATTGGACAAAGATTTTAAAGCAGCCATCATAAAAATTCTCCACTGAGCAACTATGAACACACTTGAAACACATTAAAGTGCAAGTAACAGTGAGGGAAGAGACAAATTACTGGCAACACATTACCGATACTCCTCAACTTACTATGAGGTTATATCCCAACAAACCCATTGTAAGTTGAAAATATCATAAGTAAAAAATGCATTTAATACACAGCCTACTGAACATCATAGCTTAGCCTAGCCTTCCTTAAACATGTTCAGAACACTTACCTTAGCCTACATTTGGGCAAAATCATCTAACACAAAGCCTATTTTATTAAATAGCTCATAATTTATTGAGATAAACTTCAGTGGAAAGTGAAAAACAGAGTGGTTGTTTGGGTATCACTTTCACACCATTGTAAAGTTAAAAAACTGTAAAGTTGAATCATTGTAAGTCAGGGACCAGTATAGAGGTTTCCCAATATCCCCTGCCCCCCACACATACATAGCTTCCCCCATTAGCAACCTCTATACCTTCCAATTAATTGATGTGAACCCAAAACTTCTATAAAAAATAAAGTCTACTTAAATATATACATAAGAAACACTTACAGCAGAGGCTGACAAACTACCTATTTCTGTATAACTCATGAACTAAAATGGTGTTTACAATTTTTTAATGCTTGGAGAAAAACAAGAATATTTTATGAGATGTAAAGACTAAATGAAATTCAAATTTCAGTGTCTGTAAATAAAGTATTATTGCAACACAGTCCTGTTCATTTCTGTACATTTTGTCACAACAGCAGAGCTCTGAAGTTTTCACTGGGCTTAAGCGGTATAGTGCAGTTTTCCTGACTCTTTTTTTCTCTAACAGTCATATAACTTGCTTGATAAATGTCACATTAGTAAATATGATCAAGATGAGGCATGAAAAGTGCTTGCACATTTCTAGAATGCTGTAACTGTGACATATGACCACATCCCTAATTGCTGGCTGGGTGCTGGGAGACACAGGGTGAAATTATTCCCACTGCATCAGCCAAGAGCCACCCAGCTGACCCTTGAGATCAACATCTCTCCAGGAAACAAGACCACTGGAGAACACTGACTATAGCCCACCAGGAAGCGAGACTACTGACCATAGCCTCCTCCATGCTAGGGAGTGAGAGAGCGGTGACTTGCCATGGGGTCAGGGGGTCCTCACATATGCAGAGGGCAGGAGGACACCATCACATGTCTGAGGTGCAGGGGTAAAACCAGGTGTTCACGGTTCAATCACATGTGGGACACTATCGGGTTGGCGCCTTCACATGTTGCGTGCCCTGAGGCTGTTGCGCTTTAGCGCCGTCAAGTGTCGCGCTTTAGCGCCGTCAAGTGTCGCACTTTAGTGCCGTCAAGTGGGTGCTGTCGTGAATCTGGTGGGCTCCAGCTCTCGCACCCTTGGGGTCTTACAGCCTCATGGCCGCCTCACTCTCCCGCCCTCGTGCTGGGCCTGGAGCTTTGCAGTGTGCTGCCTGCAGGCTCTTCCTGCTCCTGCTTCTCCCGCTCCTGCTCTTTCTGCCCCACACCAGGGTTGTGGCCACGGCCCACAGGTACCCCGACATCAAGGGGGTTTCCTTGAGCCGTGATGTAGGTAAGACTCCTCCAGGAGGGATTAGAAGCGGTCCCAGCGGCAGTCCAGCACTTACTGTCTCTGTCCCCCTCCCTGCGTTGGAGACCCTTGCCTTGCCTTCTGTCCTCTCTCCGCTCCTCCCCTGTCATCTAATCCCTGCCTGACGCTCCCCTTTTGTCCTTGTCCACCCCCAGTTCCTTCCTCTCATTTGCCTGTGGCCTGGCCTGCCCCCATGTGGCTGTTACTCATGCGCTGTGCCCCTCTCCCCTCAGCCTGTGGCCAACGTCACGTGCAGGGGAAGATCATGGGAGGCATGGACACCCCTGAGAAGAAGTGGCCGTGGCAGGTCAGCGTGCACTATGGGGGCTTCCACATCTGCGGCGGGTCCATCATCCATGAGTACTGGATCCTGTCGGCTGCCCACTGCTTCAGCAGGTGAGTGGGTGGTGCCGAATGCCATACCCACGGATGTCTAGGTCCCATGAGGCTGACCACGCAAGACACGCCAGGCTAGGACTTCTCAGAATTGGAGAGAGTGTTTAGGGTCCAGCACATAGGTCCCATTCTCTATATCTTCTCCTGCACAAGGTTGAGGGATTCTTAGGCCATCTGTTCTTGGATCAGACAGGTATGGAGCCAAATCATAGGATGAGAGGTGAGGAGAGGAGACAGACATATCACAGGAGGAGAGGGAAGAAGAGGATACACATTAAGGAGGAGAGGGGGGAGAGGAGACACATCACAGGATGAGATGGGAGGAGACACACATCACAGGAGGAGAGGAGAGGAGACACAACATAGGACTAGAGCTGATGAGAGAGTGGGCAGCCCACTGTACACCTGACAAACTCACTCTTCTGGGCCGTTCGTGGCCAGCAGATCCTAATGGTTCCTCCATGGGCCCTGGTCAGGACTTCTTTGGGGGAAATCCTGATTGTGCTACAGGGGATTGCTTTCCCACATCCTGACTGATAGCCTGATACCAGGTTGCCATGCTCCAGGCCTCCCTGTATCTGTGACCTGATGGTGGTTCCTCACCCCAGATGCAAGGTTCTCAACCCATTATGCCTTTGTTCTCTCTCCCTACAGGAACAGGGACAGTGCGGCGTTTGATATGTATGTGGGCCTTGTAAACCTTAAGGTTGCAGGCAGTCACACCCAGTGGTTTGAGGTGAATAAGGTGATCCTGCATCATACATACGAAATGTACCACCCTATTGGAGGAGACATCGCTCTGGTGCAGCTGAAAACCCGCATTGTATTTTCTGATTCTGTACTCCCCGTCTGCATTGCACCCCCAGACGTGAACCTTCAGAACCTCACCTGCTGGACTACAGGATGGGGACTCATCTCCCCAAAAGGTAAGAGAATGAAGTGCAGGGTCAATCCCTTTATTGGAGGGTCAATCCCTTTATTGGAGCTTGTAGAAGGGATGATGGTTCTCTGGCACTACCGGTAAGAAAGTGTTCGGTCAGTTACAGGCTTTCAGTTATCTAGGGACTGGAATCCCAACCCATCAATCACTATCTCTCTGTCAGTGTGGGGTTTTGTTTTGTCCCTGGCTGGCTTTGTTGCATACAGAGTAGTTACATCTACTTTCAGTGTGGAATTAATATCTAGTATATAGAGACCACAAGCTTCAAATTAAAGTTTTCAAATAAAGATTGTTTCATCACTTCCTTTCCTGTTTTTTAAAAATTTTTTTGAAGATTTTTATTGGGGAATTGGGGGGATGGAAACAGTGCTGGGGAATTGGGGGAAGGGGAAAAGACAAGTTGCTGTGGTTTTGTTCTTCAGTCTAGTTGTGGAGGATGTTGCTTCACTGGCCCAAGTTGGCACCATCATTGCGCTCTTCCCGGGTGAGGCAGATCAGTCGTCGGATTCTGGATGGCCGCTCACTGTGGCTGCTGGCCACTCACGCTGGCTGCGGCTACATACGGTAGCCCATGGCAACCCACTGCCACAGGGACTGCAGCCTACGCCGTCTCAGGGCAGCCCAGCTCCAGGTTGAGCTGTTGTTAAGCATCTTAGCTGCAGAGGGCAGTGTCACTGGCCCTCATATGTGGGATCCGAACCGGGGCCCTCTGGCGTCCCAAGCCAGCTCTTAACCATCGTGCCACTCGGCCGGCCCTCCTTTCCTATTTTTTATCTTTTATTTCTTTTTCTTGTCTTATTGCAATGGTTTGAAACTCCAGTAGAAATGATGCTAGGTCTCCTTTTATTTATTTACTTTTTTTATTTTAATGGAAATGCTTTTAATGGTTTACTGTTAAGTTTGTGGCCTGGTCTGGAGATTTTAGATATCTTACACCAGGTTAAGAAAGTTTAAATCTGGTTTACTTAATTAAAAAAATATTATTGAAGTTAAGCTGATATAAATTCAAATTATAATGTTATAACTTTAGGATGTTAAATGTAATCCCCATGGTAACTACAAAAGTAGCTATAGAATATTCACAAAAGGAAATTAAGAGTGAATTTAAACATTTCACTACAAAAAATCAACTAAACGCAACAGAAGACAGGAATGCTGTAAATTAGATACAAAAAAGCGATAGGGCATATAGAAAACAAAAAGCACAACGATAGAAGTAAGTTCTTCTTTGTCAGTAATTACTTTAAATGCAACCATTTTTAAACTAATCAAAAAGCAGAGACTGGCAGAATGGGTACAAACACATGACCAACTCTCTACTGTCTACAAGAGACTCACTTGAGATCCAAAGACACAAAAGGGTTGAAAGTGAAAGGATGAAAAAAGATATTCTATGCAAATAGTAACCAAAAGAGAGCAGGAGTGGCTATACTGATATCAGACAAAATGGACTTTAAATTTAAAAAGGTTATAAGAGACAAAGAAGGATATTATATGTTAATAAAGGGCTCAATACATCAAGAAGATATGACAATTATAAACATTTACACACATAACAACAGACCATCAAAATATGTGAAACAAAACCTGACAGAATGGGAGAAATACACTGTTCTACAAAAATAATTGGAGATTTTAATAACCTACTCACAATAATGGATAGAACAACCAGACAGAAAATAAGTAAGGATGTCGAGGATTTAAACAGCACAATAAACTGGCTAGAGATAAAAAACATACAGAACACTCCACCCAACAACAGCATACACATTATCTCAAGTGCACATCAGGCATTTTCCAGGATAGACTATGATAGGCCACAAATGAAAATCAATGGATTTTAAAAGATGATAACATACAAAGTACCTTCTCTTAGCACAATAGGATAAAGTTAGAAATCAATAACATAAAACTGGAAAATTCACAAAATTGTGGAAACTAAACAATGCACTTTTTAAACATGTGGTACAAGTTTTATTAATAATAAAATGCTTTGTCAAATTCCATAATCATCTCCATTCTACAAAATGAATGGAGAATTAAAAAATGCTTTTAAAGAACCAATGTATCAAAGAAATACATCACAAGGGAAATTGAAAAATAATTAAGAGATGAATAAAAATGAAAAGACAACATAACAAAACTTATAGGACACAACAAAAGTGGTGCTCAGGGGGAAATTTATAACTATAAATGCCTACATTAAAAAACAAGAAAGATCTCAAATCAACAGCCTAATTTTACAACTTAAGAAACTAGAAAAAGAAGAACAAACTGAACCCAAAGTTAACAGAAGCAAGCAAATAAAAAGATTAATAAATGAAATAGAGAATGAAAAGCAATAGAGAAAAAAAACCAATGAAACCAAAAGTTGGTTCTTCATAAAGATAAACAAAATTGATAAACCTTTAGCTAGATAGGCTAATTAAAACAGCAAAAACTCAAATTAATAAAATAAAAAATGAAAGTGGGGATGTTATTACCAATTCTACAGAAATAAAATGATTATACAGGGGACTATGAACAATTGTACTCCAACAAGTTGGATTACCTAGGTGAAATAGACAAATTTCTAGACATGAAACCTACCAAGACTAAATCATGAAGAAATAGATAATTTGAATAGACCTGTAACTAGTAAGGAAATTGAGTCAGTAATCAAAAATCTTAAAGCAAACAAACAAACAAAAAGCCCTGGATCCGATGGCTCCTTATGAATTCTTACAAGCATTTAAAGAAGAACTAACCCCAATCCTTCTCAATAATTTTTTTTAAATTGGAGAGGAGGGAACACTTCCTCATTCTATGAGAGCAGCATAACCTTGAAACCAAAGCCAAACAAAGAGACTACAAGAAAATGAAATTGCAGATCAATATCTTTTATGAACATTGATGCAAAAATCCTTAACAAAATACTAGCAAACAAATCCAGCAACATATTAAAGGGTTATATATCATGACCAAGTGAGTTTTATTCCTGGAATTCAAGGATGGTTCAACATATGAAAATTTATCAATGTATACACCACACTAACAAAATGAAGGATAAAAACCACATGCTCATCATAATTGATACAGAAAATGCATGTGACAAAATTCAACACCCTTTCATGATAAAAAAAAAACTCAACAAAATAGGAATAGAAATAAACTACCTCCGCATAATAAAAGCCATATATGAAAAATCCACAGCAAACATAGTACTCAATGGTGAAAGACTGAAAGCTTTTTGTTTAAGATCAGGAACAAGGCAAGGATGCCTGCTTTCAGCACTTGTATTCAACATAGTACTGGAAGTTCTAGCAAGAGCCATTAGGCAAGAAAAAAACCAAATCATCCACATTGGAAAGGAAGAAGTAAAATTATCTCTGTTTGCAGATGATATGATCTTATGTGTATAAGAGCCTAAAGACTCCTCAAAACAGCTGTTAGAACTATTAAATGAATTCAGCAAAATAGGATACAAAGTCAACACACAAAAATCAGCTGAGGTATCTGAAAAGAAAATTATGAAAACAATTCTATTTATAATAGCATCAAAAAGAAAAATTACAGTTGACCCTTGAACTACATGGGGATTAGGGACACTGATCTGCACAGTTGAAAATCCACGTATAACTTTTGACTCCCCAAAAACTTAACTACAGTCATTCATCGATATCCACAGGGGATTGGTTACAGGACTCCCCATGAATACCAAAATCCACAGGTGCTCAAGTCTTTTATATAAAATGGTGTAGAACAATGCATATGGTCAGTCCTCTGCCTCTGCAAATTCCCAACTGCAGTTCGAAAATACTGTTTTTTATGTGCAGTTGGTGTGAAACCCAGGGATATGTAATATCAACCATATATTTATTGAAATAGATCTGTTTATGAGTGGACCCACACAGTTCAAACCTCTGTTGATCAAGGGTCAGCTGTACTTAGGAATTAGCCAAGGAGTTAAAAGACTTGTACAATGAGGGCCGGCCGAGTGGCGCGATGGTTAAGAACTCGCTTGGGATGCCAGAGGGCCCCGGTTCGGATCCCACATATGAGGGCCAGTGACACTGCCCTCCACAGCTAAGATGCTGAACAACAGCTCAACCTGGAGCTGGGCTGCCATGAGTCGCCGGCGACGGCGTAGGCTGCAGCCCCCTTGGCAGTGGGTTGCCATGGGCTACCGTGTGTATCCAGCAGCCAGCGTGAGCGGCCTGCAGCCAGCGTGAGCGGCCAGCAGCCGCAGTGAGCGGCCGTCCAGAAGCCGGCGACTGATCTGCCTCGCCAGGGAAGAGCGCAATGATGGTGCCAACTTGGGCCAGTGAAGCAACATCCTCCACAACTAGATTGAAGAACAAAAATGACAGCAACTTGTATGTTCCCCTTCACCCAGTTCCCCAGCACTGTTCCCATCCCCCCAATTCCCCAATTAAAAAAAAAAAAGACTTGTACAATGAAAACCACAAAACATTGAAAGAAATTAAAGAAGACATGTTAATTGAAACACATCCCATGTTCATGGATTGGAAGACTTAATATTATTAAAATGTCAATATTACCCAAAGCAATTTACAGATTAAATTCATTCCCTACCAAAATCCCAAACACATGTTTTGCAGAAATAGAGAAATCCATCCTAAAATTCATGTGGAATCTCAAGGGACCACAAATAGACAAAACAATATTGAAAAAGCAGAACAAAACTGGTGAACTCACATGTCATGATTTTAAAACATTCTATAAAGGTACAGTCATCAAAACAGTGTCATATTGGCATAGAGACAGAAATATTTTTAAAAATAGAATAGAATATAGATGCCAGAAATAAACTCTCACATATACAGTCAAGTGATTTTTGACAAGGGTGCTAAGACCACTCAATGGGGTGGTCTTTTTGACAAATGGTGGTGGGAAATTGGATTCCACATGCAAAAGAATGAAGCTGGACCCTTAACACCATACACAAAAATTAACTCAAAGTGAATCAAAGACCTAAATGTAAGA